TGAATGAGATGTATGTCAAGTTTTGTGAAATATATGATAAAGGCACAAAAAAAATTATACCAAAACAGAGATGCAGAACTAGGAAACAGGATTGGTTCAACAGATATTGCGAGAGGGCCAGAGACCAAAAGACACAAAAATGAAATCAATACAGGAAGAGGCCAAACCCCCAAACATACCAGCGATACAAAGATGCGAGAAACAACTACACGGCAGTGAGGAGAGAGGCAGAAAGAAATTTTGAAAAAGGGATTGCAGACAAATGTAAAACAGAACCAGGTCTATTCTATAAATTCATAAACAACAAATTGCAGGTAAAGGATAATATTCAGAGGTTGAAAATGGAAAATAGATTCATGGAAAATGAAAAGGAAATGTGTGAAACACTAAACAAAAAGTTCCAAAGTGTGTTTGTACAAAATCTGTACGTCTTTCCTCTGTGGAGAGGGGACTCAAGGGTCGCATCCATCAGACCACGGAGGGCCCCCCCCCCCATCCCCCCATGGGGTGTCCGAGTGCCCTTAGCCTTGGTAACATGCTAAGGGAAGCCCAAGCATGGTACTGCGAACTGGCGCCCAAACTACAGAGTAAAATTCTAAAAGCTGAACCCCCAGAACGTGTCCAATCAGGGGGGCCTAGCAGGGGGTACCACCAAAAAGATAGATATGGATATATATAAACCCTAAATTGAAATAGGGGACAACCAACCGCAGGCAGACCCCCCTTCCCATGGTAGGAAAACAAAATTCAAAGAACAACCCTGCAAGATGACAAAGTACCCAGGCAGAACAGAGGCTGTTGCTATGATAGGTGAAAACTAGCTGTGCAGTACCCCACACCCCTACCAGGGACAAAAACTACTCCCTACTCAGAGGCAAACAAAGGCAACAAAAATCACAGCTGACATCAATGGCGGCCAATTACCGAGCAGTAAAAGACACAGCGGAGGTAGATCCCAAGGTGACTTGTGAAAGGTGGCCCCAAGCTCCAAGGGCAGTACTTACTGGGCACCTTGGGAAGGAACCCTAAGTGCATGCAGCCCGAGTACCGTAGAAGATTACTGCTGGCTCACACCACCTGTAGAGAGAGACCACGCCTCAAGGCACAGAAACTAAAACCAATGCAGGAGCCAGAGGCACATGACCTGCCAGTATCTCATCAGCCAAAAACTGACAGTTGGATTGCCGGCGTGAGGTTCTGGGGCTCCCCCTTCCAAGGAGGGGAGAGGGGGTTGCACAGACTGCGGCATGGCAACGTGATGTCATGCTCATTTGCTAATTTTCATTTAGGGAGTTCTGTCCACTCGTTCGGCTCTCAGTAGCAATTTTTTCACCAGAATAGGGGATTTGTTTTGGGGCGCGCCTACCTCTTTGGGTGCCAGACCTGGTCGATGGCAGACATAGAATGCTCCCCAACCACACTGGGGTTTCTATAGGCCATTGTTCCTCGTGCCTCTGAGGGGACCAGGTTCTGGCTCGTGGTCCCCGGTAGGCAAGAACTCCATGCACATTGACTGATGCCAGAAAGCTAATACTGTATTGTATAACCATATCAGCCTGGATGCTCCAGGGAGCCTCTGGGACTCACCCAGAAAATGGCGTTCCATTACATTCAACGCTGGGTTTTTTCACTCCCTGTTTGTTCATGCGCTACCTTAGCCTTCTTGGTCTTTAGACTAGGTTCTTTCTTTTCTTTCTTCCCCTCGCTTTCTTGTGGCGCCTTCAGTTCGGGATTGCTTTTGGAAGGCCTTGTTTTTGTTGGCCTTCACCTTTGGGGGTCGGGTTGGGAGCTTCATGCTCTCCTTCGATGATGAGGGTTATGTTGATTTGGTGGTGGTCATTTTGTTTGCAGCCTTCTTTGTCAGACAGATGGCTTTCGGAGGGGTCCGTTGGTTGTGGATGCTTGGTTAGGCCGGGGGTGTCTCGCGTGTTGTGTCCAATGGCGGCTTTACACTGCTACTTGCGGGCCACTGGTTCTGCAGATGCTGTCTGGGTGGATCCGGTTTCCTTGGGTCCCTGTTCCAGGGCTCGTGTCTCTCAGGTTTTCTGCAGTGTCATGAAGTTTAACCAGCCTACTGTCTTTCCTTGTGCCCATGATGTTTGAAAGTGTGCTGCTCTCACGGCGGTTTTTAACAACATGTCTTGGGTCGACATCCAGTGCTGGGGTTTTGGAAGTCGATCAGAGTAATGGTCTCCAGGTATCTTATGCACGTTCCCGTTCCTTCCCGGCGATGTGTGACTTTGGGGCACCTGTCGTGGCTATCTCTCTTCCTTGTCTTGTGGCCTGCGATGCTGCTGCCTCCTGGGTAAGTTCCTCCTTTTACTTATCTTTGGGTACATAGCTTCTAGGAGCCGAATGGGTTCCCCACAGAAAACCACCATTGAATGTAAGGAATTTCCATTTTATGGGCGAGCCCAGGAGGCTCCCTGACACCCTCCCTCCCTCCGGTCAGTGGTTTTCATCACTCAAGAACTGGAGTAGTGGGCTGCCAGCTCCCCCTCCTTCCCCTTCCCCCTACAGGGGGGGGGGGTAGCACTAACAAGCAGGAGCGCTAGTTGCATGAAGTGTTGCTTGTTGGGTTTCTTTCTAGGGGGGTGTAATTTTTATCTTTTCAGATGTAGATTGCACAGGTTAACCAGATACAGTGGTACCTAGGTTTTAGAGTTTAATCCGTTCCTGGAGACAGCTCGTAATCTGAAACTAATTTCCCCATAAGAAATAATGGGAAATGAATTAATCCGTTCCTGACTACCCAAAAACCTCACTTCAAACTAAATTTTATACCTAATTCATCTAAATAAACCTACAAAACTATGTTCAAGTTATTACTTACCCTTATTACTTACCAAGGGAGATAACCCTTGCTGATGAATGCTGTAGGCATATGGAATATGGTGAGGAGGGGGGAGGAGAGGAGGTGAGGTGTGATGGATATGGATGACACTATGACATGGATACCACTTCTTTTTCTAAATTTTTCAAACCATCCCCTGCTTGCCTTAAAGTCTATCGTATCTGCACTCATTCCAGGGGTTTTCTTTACAAGGTCTTCGTGCAATACCCTGGCTTTCTCACAAATGATGGCCTCTGAAGCACTATCACCCGCTAACTCTTTGTTGTGTATCCAAATTAATAACTACTTTTCCACTTCTTCAAGTATTTGTGGTCTTTGTTTCGTGATCGTTCTTACGTCTTTTGCCACTTTAGCACTCATAATGTCCTTTTTCTTGCTAAGTATAGTGCATATCGGGTGTGCATATAGCACACTGGACTTGTGATCCTGTGATCCCGGGTTCGATCCCGGGCGCCGGCGAGAAACAATGGGCAGAGTTTCTTTCACCCTATGCTCCTGTTATCTGGCAGTTAAATAGGTACCTGGGTGTTAGTCAGCTGTCACGGGCTGTTTCCTGGGGGTGGAGGCCTGGTTGAGGACCGGGCCACGGGGACTTTAAAGCCCCGAAATCATCTCAAGATAACCATATCGTTGACTTGGCTTTGTTGTACTGCCTACAAAGTTCAACAACACGTGTACCATTTTCATGCTTCCGAATGATCTCTTGTTTTTCCTATATTGTCATGTTCACATGTGTTTTCTTGCCTTGATCCTTACCACTGGCTTTCTTGGGACCCATGGTGAGATATATAATAACTTTTATGGTCAAATGACCAAAAATCCAACAAAACACTGAAAATCCGGGTGAAGAATTGACGTGGGATAGTCACTGGGCGCCAGGCACTGGTAAACTGAGGGGTGAGGGGCGATGATCGCCGTACCACCACGCGTTAGTTTGGCCTGTACCAAACTGTTTGTTTTGTATCAACAAACTCGGATTCCGAGGTAACCCTCGCCTTCCGAGGCACATTTTCCGAGGAAATCCTGCTTGTATTCCGAAAAACTCGTATTCAGGGACACTTGTATTCCGAGGTACGACTGTAGTAGTCTGTTTTGATTCGCCTACCTTTCTGGGTCCTTCCCTTGTAAATGGCAATTATGACATGCAGTGAACCTCGGGTAACGAGCGGCTCCATCTACGAGCATTTCAGGTAACGAGCAAGCCACTCGCAGAAAATTTGTCTCAATTGATGAGCTTCCGCTCGGTTAACAAGCAAACCATTTGTTTTCTAGCGTTCCCGCTGGTTCTCGGATGCCTCTGACGACAGTTGTTTCACAAGACGAGTGTTTCACACGACGAACTCTGTGCAAGAGCGTATTAAATTCGTTAACCAAGGCACCACTGTACTTTAAATGTAAATTGCTCATAGGCCATTGCTCCCTGCACCTCTCTGAGGAGGCCAGGTTCTGGCTCGTCCCCGGTAGGCATAAGAACTCCTGTGACTGATGACCCCAAACTAATATAGTACATGTCAGTTGGGATAGCTTCAGGGAGCCTCTGGGGCTTACCCCAGATGATGCCTTTTCATTACATTCAATGCTGGTTCTTTTCTAGTGCAATGTTAAACACTATAATTAATTGGTAACAGAAGACCCTTGCAGGTTCATTCAGTAACCAAGGTGATCTCGTGGGATAATGTTACTTGATTAAATGCCATATTATTGTTGCAATATAATATAATGAGTGGCAGGAAATCACCAGGAGTAAAGATACACTTGCTGGGCTTTTCACTTGTACATTTAGCCTAGCAACCTCAAAAAGTTCAGCATATAGATAGATCTACAAACTTTTGATGAACATTAGTTGCCCATGACTTTCCCACCTCCTTGCACCAAGTATAAAAAATATTACCAGTAGAAAAATAGAAATTGTAAAGGGGCAATTGGACACGTGGGTGTACGGGTCGCTGCCAGCAAGTTGCCTAACAATTTAAATTATTAACAAACAATCCTGGGCATGGAAAGTTGAAAAACTCAAGACTAACTATGGCCATACAGGTAGGTATACAACACCAATGTTGCTTAAGTATGCATAAATGGCAATTATAATGACTTCTAGTGTTTTAATTACTCTTAATAATGGATATCTCTTATTTTGTTCGTACAGGTCGCATTAAATGAAACTTACACTGCAACTGATAATAAGGAAAATGCTGGCCACAACAGTACATTCACCAAATCCTCTGGTAACAGTCAGTCCAGTTCTGATGTGGAGACTGCACAGAAAAGCAAGAAAATTAAAAGTAAAGAATATGTTAACTACAACATACTAGACATTAAGAGTGATGACTCGACAGATGATGAGAAAGATCCAAAGAAGAAAATTCCCTTTTGGGCTACAAGTAAGTTTTACAGTTGAAACAAGTTTCAAATATTTTAATATGTATTTTATGAAATTTTCACACAATATACAGTTGAAACTAAACCTACAATAGTATAGTTAAGGGTGTGCATACAAAGTGAGTTAGCTAGATAAGATGGTTAAAATTTATATTTGGCACATTTTTGTATATAACCTTTATATTTAAAGAATACATAAGAATAAGGAAACTGCAGAAGGCCTAATTGCCCACATGAGGCAGCTCCTCACTATATCCACTCCAGCTCCTTCATGTACATATCTAACCAATGCTTAGAACAAAGCAGTGATCCCAGGTCTGTTATGTTACCTGGTAATGTTTCCTAAAGCAACCCAGGTTTTTCATAAATGTAACCTTATCCAATTTATGTGCATTCTTTCAAGTTTTTGTGTTGCTATATTATAGCATACACAATAATTTTATAATGAGTCCAGTAATAAAGCATCAAATGGAAAAGACTTGGCATATGCCAAGGGCAGGAGTGCAACAACTCCTCCATCCCTCACCAATACATGTCTTCACCTGCTGACATACTGATACACAACTCCATGTTATTTATGGATCCTTAGTTTGATACTCATTATGTTCTTTAATTATGTACATTATACAGTAATGTTAAAGCATTATTTGGCAAGAATACTTAGCAGTATTTAGCTTGCAAGCTGCTTCAAGACAGACCACCATTATTCCCTCCCTCTTCACCTACAGTACACAGTACATGTTTTCCCATGTTGCATTATTAATGTATATTTGTTTTACAGTAAAAAACATGTAGTGTTAAAATATCAAATTAACCATTGAAGTATTACACATAAACCACCATAATTTTGTGAATACAGTATTCACTCGATTTAACAGCCTATATGGGGCTGTACCCTGGTCGTTATCTCCGGAGCTCTGGTATTTCCGAAGTTAAGTGTCGGTAATTTTTCAAGTAACATTCAGGCAAGATATATTTTGTACAGACATCCACTTGGTCCACCACTCTAGTGCCTTCTACCCTGTCACGGCACATTGTTTTGATTTG